CAAATATGTATTAGGAACTGAATCAGTTTACTTATATTAACTCATTTCATTTTTAAAATGTTCCCATTTTGAAGAGTGGCAACTGAAGCACAGAGAGGTAAACTGATGAAACCAAGGGACAGAGAATGGTACTTGTTTGTGGTTATCTAGCTAGTAAGAAAGGGAGCCTTGTTTCAAATCCAGGTTGTCTGGCCCCAAGATCTTTACCACTCAATGCAACAACCTTATATGATTGTTGGAGTCTTCTGGCAAGTGGTAATTGCTTAGTCCTTGTCAGTTTCAGCTGTGAAGGGGATGCTGGGGAAAATGGTAACTGAATCCAGAGGTGGATTCAGGTTGGTTTGCTGTAGTGGGCTGGATGTGGAGGGAGAACCAAATGGAGGCTGTGAAAGCCAGCTGGCATTGTTTCCTAGCATCCAGGTGGTAGTGTAGTGGTATTCTAGCTTGGTAATAGACATTTATATTTCATTTTTTCGCTGATGGGAAACCCCCACCAATAAGAAATTTCCCCACGTAGTCACCAGAATAATACATAGAGCTTAAACCTCTTTGGCCTTGATATACACCATTCAGTGGTATATCAGAGGGCTTAGTCTAGTTAGGCTGTAGTAACAATAGTGCCAGATCTCAATGGCTCATAGTAACAAAGATGTGTTTCTTCTTTACATTACATATCGCTGGTGGGCTGGCTGGGACTCTGCTCCACACCCTCTTTGCTCTGGCATCGAGGCAGAAGGACCAACCCTGCCCTGGGACAGGCTGTTTTTGTGGCAGGGGGAAAGTGCAACGTCAGACAGAACATGGCTCTTCAGGCTTCTGCTCGGAAGTGGCACATGTTACTTCTGCTCATAGCCCGCTTATTAAAGCAGGTCATGTGGTCAAGTCTAATGGCAATGAGGTAGGAAGTGTAAGCCTCCTATAGTAAGGGGCCCAAAGGTGGGGGCAGTGAATATTTTGAACAAATAATTAGTCTACCACTCTCTGTTCTCTGACTCACAGATACTCACTTCTCTCCCTTTCACACACAAAATCTCTCCCCAGGACAGAGAAACCAGAAGCCATCCAGTTAGAGCATCAGGATTAAAGTCCTAGGTGGCGTAATGGTCTGGATGTCAGGTCTGGACGTTTCTCTGCCAGATCTGGAGACCTACGAGCTGACATGACAAATTGTCTGACTCTGTATATCCGGCATGCAGTGGGGCAATAGGGACAGGATGACCACAATAAACAGCCCTATTTAGAAGGGGGAGGGAGAGGAGCCAGCAGTCCCAGGTTCTTAATGGTTATGAAATTTCACTGGGCAGGCTTGGGGAGAGCCTGGTAAGAACCCCTGACGTTGGGAGAGGGGGGGTCTTGGTTACACCTTGGTTCTGCTCCCTGGGTGGGTGGAGCTCTCGAGTCCATTGCTAACCTTGATCTTGCCTCTGCCCTGTGGAAGTTCATGATTACATTGTTCATCTTAACAGTTATTGCAGGCAACCGTTTTACCACACAGTTCACCACCAAATTATATGGGTTGCCATCTTGCTAATAAGCTTCCTCACTGCCTGGCCTGGAAGCCAAAGGCACATCTTTTAGGCTTTCTGTTATGGCAGAACCCTACTTTGAATGCCAGTTTTTTAATGAGTCAGCTTAGGCTGGTTCTGCTGCAATAACAATAGCAAACCCTCAGACTTAGACCAACAAAGGTTTATTTCTTGCCCATGTTTTATGGAAGCTGTGGGCAAGAAGATGTGGGGCTAACTTCCTCACTCTGGGATCATTTGCCATTTTCAGAGAGAGAGGAGCAATTGGGGAACCCTCACAGGCTCTGAAAGCTTTTGATAGTATGCAGTTCCCATCACTTCCTTCATATTCTATTTGTGAAAGATCATTTGACTACACCTGAATCAGCGGGGTGGGAAGCTCGATCCTGTAGGGAGGGCCCAGGATTATTTTGAACAAATGTAATCTCTCACAAGAGGATAGTATAGTAGTGAGTTTTTCACATTTGATTATTTTGGACTTTTATGTTAATGTAAAATTGTTACTTTGACCTACTCTATGGAATGATTAGTGTGTAAATGGGATTTGATTTTTAAACATTTCTTTTGGGAAAGTAGCAGGAGTTTATATTACTTTCACTTACCTGCTTCTTAGTTCATAGTATATGTATTATTGTATAATACAAACCAAATGGGTGGTGTTCTAATTGCTTTTATGAAGGGTGACAGGGTAGTTCTGGCTGGAACTCACAGAGTGGTTGTAGCTTGGGGGGACTTAGGATTCAGGACCTCACTCTCAACTTTGCACATTCAGCAATTGGAGAATGATTAGGTTTTGGGGGAGAGAATTCATGCTAATGAAACTCACAAATGACTATTGATTTATTATAAGGCCACTTGATGTATTTTCACTGAGCTCTGTGCTGGCAGGCAGGTATGGGGATAAATTGCTTGCTGTAAACTTCAAATTATTTGACATGGTCTTAAATATTGTCATTACAATCATAGGTCACAAGTTTCAAAAAATACTTAGATTATTGACACTGGTGCATTTGGAAATGCAAACCACATTATTGTTTTACTTCTAACTGATTCTCATTAAATGCAACTAATTGAGAGTAAAATCTCTTGAAAACTGAGGGAAGGGACTGTACTTATCTCTCCTGCCTAAGCAGATGTCTCTGTAGGCCTCATTTTCCTGACCCCCTGGTTAGAGTGCTAAGCAGCTGATGTTGACATAAGTGGGCACTGGGTGGGATACCAAGTAGTAAGAACAATACATTCCCTGGAGCAGCTTAAAATATTTTTGAGTGACAAAACCTGAAACTGGGTATTGGGATAGCTAGAAACTCTTGGAATCTTTAATTGCCTATACTAAGATTCTTCTCAGAAAACCATCCACTCTTCTCCCCAGGGCCATGAGCATGTTCCCCAAGGATGCCAGTGTGTCTCCTGTGTTTCAGGACCTGATGACATTTGAAGATGTGTGTGTGGAATTCACCCCGTGGGAGTGGGGGCAGCTGGACCCTTCTCCGAAGGACCTGTAGAGGGAGGTGATGCTGGAGAACTTCAAGAACCTGGCCTTTCTGGGTGAGCTCAGCTCCCCCAAAGGCCAAAGTCTGCCCTTCAAGCCATCTTTGTTTCCTTGGTGTTTAAAAGCTTGGGCTGTCTGGAGCTGTGCGCTGAGTTTTTCCCTGGAGTTCTGGAATCAGACATTAACACTCTCTTTGGGGTCCAGAGATGCAGTACTTCTGCTCCTTCTTCCTCAGATAAGTCCTGTTCCATAAGAAAATGTAGTAAGTTTTATGATTCTGCTCCTGATGTTTCACAATACTTATTTGGAGGCTATCCACATCTACAGTATGTCTTCCCCTTTTAAGACCAAAGGTCAAAGCCTTTGGCATCTGACACACATGTAGTCACAATCCTTTTCTTTCTCTATCTTTAGAGCTTCCAGTGTCCAAGCCATATGTAATTTGCCAGTTGGAGGAAGGGAATGAGCCCTGTGTACTGGAGAGAGAAATCTCAACAGATGCCCACTCAGGTGAGGGAGACCCAATCAGCATCACACATAAGGACCATTGGTGGGTAGGCAGTTTAAGGTGAGGCCACTTGTCAGGAGCCCTCAACTCTAGTATTTTGAACATTCATAGGCTTTTGTAGTTATCTCTGGTGTCAAAAGAAGAGATGTTCATTTTCTTCTCTAGTATTTATCTTTTCTTTCCTTTGGTATCCATCCCTATCAACTCCTTTTGGGTGCTTGGTACCATGCAGCATCATTAGATGCCACAGGGTCAGTGTAGATGTAATCTAAGGATCAACAATTGTAAATGGCCAGACACCCTATATTAGCAGGGCTATGGGAGTTAGCAAGAGATCAAACAGAACAGTTTAGTAGCTTAGAAATTTAAGGGTTACAGGCAAGGAAAGACATGATGTCAGAAGACTAAAATGAGAACACTTTTAGCTTAAGTTAAACTGCAACAGAAGGTTTTCTAGGTGCATCTGACCAAGTTCACACTTTTGTACTAGATGAAAAGCTTTCCTCCTAGAAAAGCTTACCAATATTTAATTACCAGTTGTTACTGATTATAATTAACAATTAAATATTTTCTTAGAAAAATGTAATGTTGCTTCCTGTAATTATTTTTCAAATTCAAATACAGATTAGCATTTTTCCATCTTTTTCAGGTGGTTTGGTTTGGTGTACATAAAAATTTATTGCTATTTTATTCTATAGCACTACAATGACTTCTCATGCCAATTACACAGAATTAGGACAAACTTCACACTGTTGAGGATACAGTACCCCACAAGACTTCTGACTTCAGACACCAGCTACAAATTGGGGGTTCCTAGGATACCTTTCTTACCAGCTGGGTACAAATTTAGGAGTTCTACTACTATCTCAGGTTTGAAAATTCTCTAGAACAACTCTCAGAACTCAAGAAAGTGAAATATTTATGACAGTGATTTTATTACAGCAAAAGAATGAAAATCAAAGCCAGAATAAGGAAGAGACAAAGGGTAAGGTACGGGAGCATCCCAAATGAGGCTTCCATCTTCTCCAAGAACACACATTTCCTTACTGGCACATTAATGTGTAACAACAATGTAGAGTACTGCCAACCAGGTAAGCTAACCCACACTTTGACATCCAGAGTTTTTATTGGTGTTTCATTATGCTGGTATGATAGATTGATCACAGTTAAGCTCAATCTCCAGTGCCCTTCTCCCTGGAGGTTGGGCTGGTAACATATGGCTCAAAGCCTCAACCCTTTAATCACAAGGCTTATCTTTTCTGGTATCACCTGCATCATCTCATTAGCATAAACTACTTAGACTAGGGACCAACCATGAGTCACCTAATTAGCATAAACTCATGTGGTTCTAGACAACCACTATGCATAGCAACTACACTCCAATCAGGAAATTCCAAGTATTTAGAAGTTACCCCTTAGGAACCAGGGACAAAAGCCAGCCAAGTTCTTTATTATATAAACACACACACTCAAATCAATGTGAAAATGCTTCATTATTATTCAAATATACAAGTTGTAAACATTAAGACTGTATTTTAGACATTTCAGCAAATAATTGCAACATACAGTTTACAGACCATTGATAAGTTAAACATAGGCCCACAGCTGATGGAAAGGGAGGCTGGAAATTGTTCTTCTTTGTCCTGGGCAGCAGTAGGCCCAGCTAAAATTTGGGGGCTCTATTACTAAGGAAGAAAAGGAGGGTGGATGTTGACAGATGACAAGGAATCTGTGCCTCAAGACCCAAACACTCCAAAATTATTTGGGAGCAAAGTCACATCCATGATATTCTGGATCTCAAGTCTTCTCTTCTGCAAGGTGAAGGGCTTTGCACCTGTGGAAATAAATGAGGACCACACAAGTGAGATTAAACAGACTATTTATTCACAGCTTGCTATAGCAAAGGATCAGCCACTATCACCTGCATTTGGCAGAGACCTAAGGGCAGCAGGGAGGAAGAAAACTTTAAAATTAGAAGAAAAAGAAGGCATCAGGCCTGTCCCAGTTGGAAGTTGCTGGCATGGGAAAGCTGGAGATAGGTCAATTTGGAGCAGGACATGCTATGTGACTGGTTTGGGGAATGTATTTGGCTTTCTATGGTTGGTCCTAAGTTGGAAGTGGGGGCAAAAAATAGGGGAACTAGCAGTCATTGACCAAGTCTGGCTGTTCTAAGTTGACTGCCACAGAGGCTGTGGTTTGGCTTCCAGGCTGGTTGCTGCAGAGGTATAGGTCAGAGTTCTACTGTCATACACAGTGTGTCCATTTTCCATTGGTATATTAATCCCTCAGTTATCCTTTTTGGTCATTCTTTTGCTTGAGAGAGGTTGACCATTTCAGAGTTGCTAGAGATATGGATCTTGGGGGATTGTTTGGTTGTCTCCATTGTAAACTGTATCATGAGATCTTTTGGATTTTGTTATTGTTTTATGATGGCAATCATCTGATGAGAGAACAGGTGTGCAGAAGCATTGAGCCAAAAAGTATTTTCTTTAAGGCAATATATTGCCTGCTCTATACTGCCTGTTTCATTGATCCAAGCACATCAGGAAGTAATAGCAATTGCCCATAACTACTTGTGGTCCTGGGTTAAGGTGATCTACAGATCTTCCACCTAGGGGAGAGGTGTTGTCATTAATAACTTTTGCCAGTTAGTGATAGTCTTTTCCACCTCCCCCTTTTGGAACTACTGCTCTGATTGTTCACATAAACAATGAGACAGCAGTTCCCCAAGTTAGATGCCTGAAAAATCAAGGGTGGTCTCATTTTGGAGCTCCTGCCTGAGTCGGAATTTCTAGCATTGGTGATTTGTAGAGCTAGGACTTCTGTATGCAGACAAGTCTTGGAATACTATTCATAATTGGCATGACATTTTAGTCTGAGGAAAACAAGACAGTTGTCCTGGCTACAAAGGAAGTAGAATCTGGTGGGTGCACAGAGACCAAGGAAAAAAGGTGTTCATAACATGAGACTGGAACAAAGACTGAACTTAAGTTAGCTGTGTTGCATGTTTGGATACCCTTAGTTTCTGCCAGGTGATAAATGACCCACTACCCTCAGAAGGTTGTTGGGTTGAAGTTAGTATTACCTGGGGTCTGATCAATTAACAATTGGGTCTTCTGGGAAATAGGGACACTAGCAAAATCACATGTTGATTTAAAGTCATTCCTGTACATGCAAGAGAAAAAACCACTGGCTATACTTCCACAATCATCTCTTTGATGAGACCAGAATTGTTCACATATATTTATTGTGGTGGTCTGGTGATGAATGGCATATACACCAGCTGGTAAGACAGAATAGTGGCTACTGTTTGGGATAATCTAAGATTGGCATTGGAATATGTAAGTTCTGACCTAACAGTTATAATAAAGAGGAAAGAAAAGAGAAAAGGGGCCATTATGGGTAGATGACAATCAGGGATATATGGAAAAGAGAATAACTATAAGCAAACATGAAAAACAAAACAGGACTTTGATACGGGTGTTGATCTGACATCTTGGGCAGAAGCCATGCATTATCTGAGGTCACCTATTTATTCCAGAGGTCTTTGTTCAGCTATATACTTCTGAAGAGCAGCTGCTTCTACACCATCTTGAAGAATCCCCAGTTTGAGGTCCTCTGCTGGAGTAGGCTTCGAGTTTATCAATTAGGAATTTTTTCTTTCACTGTGAAATATGTACTGAAGAATTGATTCCCTGGAGTCTCACTGTTGTATTTGTTAACAGTACCTTATAAAAGTCCCACACAATGAGGTTTAATTAAGAGCAGTTTTTCTCTGATATATCTTCCAATAGATAAAATCTCGTGGTTGAAGATCATAAAGAACTAGGAAGATGCTGTGAGAAGGTGGCTTTAACCTATTGGTGACAGGACTGGGTTTAGTACCTGAATCCCTTGTAATATTTTGTCATGTCTGTGTACAGCAGGACAGAATCTAGTACTGGAAATGAAATCTCTAGAAATGGGCCTTCTGGTTATCAGTTCTTAGAGGGATAACTGAAATATCCTCAAGAGAGTGAGTGAACCATACAGCTATAAGGGCTTCTGGGAGTGACTGTGGCCAGGGAACTAAAGGGTTTCTGAAAGTCTTGCTAATTTTAAGTTAAGGATGCCATTGATCTTTCAGTCTTCCTGGAATATTGTGGATGGTAAGGGCAATAGAGTTTTTGAGTAAGAGGTAATGCCTTATGGAGTTCTGTTACAATGATCCCTGTAAATGTGTACCTTGATCGACTTAATATAAAAAACGCAGTGCCCCAGGTTAGAAACAAAAACAGCTTTTAGTGATTTTAAGGGCTATAGTGACTTTTAGTGACTGTCAGGGCTATAGATTCTCAGCAAAGAAATGCTTCAACCCACCTGGAAAATAGATACACAGTAATTCATGCATAGGGTGGAAACTGGATAAAATCCATCTGAAGGTGTCCAAGGACCCTTGAGGCTTTGGTCATGTCCCATCTTTACAGTTTCCCAGGATTATGTGGATAGGTCACATATGACTTGAAAATAACCTGTTAAAAAACTGTCTTTTTAAGGCTTGTGTACCACTGTTAATTTAAGGTAACCAATTTGTATCATGATGGGTAGTTACATGGAAAATTTAGCTAATATCCACTGGACATCACTTGGCGCCGCCAAATGGCCATCTTGGGAGCACCAGAAATTATCTGGGTGAAGGGTGTTTAATTTTTAATATTCTTTTTCAGAAGCAGGGGCTAAACTTTGACATTTTATAATGGCCTCTTTCTTTGAATTCGTCTAGAGATGTATCCTTTGAGGATTTAGTTAGGAGCCTCACCTTGGCTAAGGCTACTCGTGTGGCATAATGATCAGCTAGAGAACTGCCTTTCACTTCCATATTACCTCTTTTGCATGAGCCTCAGCCCTTTATAGCAGCCACCTCTCTGTGAAGCAGGAGTGGGCCCGTATGTTCCTTAGCCTGTAGTCCATGTTTGATGGGGATTCTGCCAGAGGTTAGGAAACCTGTTTTCAAAGCATCTCAAAGTCATGTACTGCTCTCAAGCATATCTGTTATTTTTGTGTGTGTTTATTCTCTGGTCTTTGGCTAGTTGACAAACTATATAGTAAGTGCAGTAAGTTCTGCCATCTGGGCTGACTTTACCTCTGACAGAGGACTGTATTCTAAGAGAGCTTAAATTAGTGACAGCATATCCTATTTGATAGCCTCCAGTTTTTGAGAGAAATGATTCATCAACAAAAAAATATTAGCCCAGAGTTTTTAATTGGACTCCGTAATAAATCTGAGCAAGGTAGATTTAATTTGCCTAATTAAGGTAAGACAGTTATGATGTTCTCCTGTCAGGAACAGAAGTGGCAGGATTCAGGATGCTGCAATAGTGAGCAGAAATGTGAGGAGAGAATAAGACTATCTTAAGATTTAATTAGTTGGCTGCAAGTGTAGGACTACCTCTATTCACAGATGACATGATCCTTTAGACAAAGAATCCTAAGAAATACACTAGAAACCTATTATAATGTGTGAGTTCAGCAACGTTTCTAGATACAGTCAGATCAATATATAAAAATAAGTGATATTTGATCATTAATGGATCTGTAAAGGAAAAAAACTGATAAATGGGGCTTCATCAAAACTTAAAACTTCTGCTTGACAAAAGATACTATTAAAAGAATGAGAAGACAAACTGTAGGCTGGAGGTAGATATTTTCAAACAACCTCTTTGAAAATGTACCTAGAATACATAAAGAACTCTTACAACTCCACAAACAATCCAACTAGAGAGTGAGTAAACACTCCAGCAAAGAGTACATGCAGATGGCAAACAGGCACATGAAAGGAAGCAACATCATTAGCTGCTAGGAAAGTGTAAGTTAAAACCATGATGAGGTTTTACTACACAACTATTAGAACAGCTAAAAAAAAATTTTTTTAAGTGACACTACTAAATGCTAGTGAGGCTGCAGAGGAACCAAATCTCTTACAGTCTCCGGTGGGACTATAAAATGGCATGGCCACTTTGAAAAGGAGTTTGGGAGTTTCTTAAAAGACTAAACATACACTTATCACCCACTTTAGCAATCTCACTGCTTGGCATTCATCTCAGAGAAATGAAAGCTTGTGTCCACACAGAAATGTGTACATGATGAGTGTATACCCCAAAGTATTTAAAGCAGGGACTCAAAAGATACGTGTAGCCCCATGTCCATAGTAGCATTATTACAACAGCCAAAAGGTGGAAGGAATCCAGCCGTGCGTTGGCAGATGAACACATGAACAAAATGTGGTCTTCATAAACAATGGAATATTAGCCTTAAAAAAGGAAATTCTGACACATATTGCACAGATGAACCTCCAGGATATCATGCTAAGTGAAATAAACCAGTCACAGAAGGACAAATACCATGTTATCGCTCTTAAATGAGATACCCAGAGTAATTGAAATCATAAGAGATATATTTATACTTGTTCATGGGCTGTGGCTAATGGCTTGGCAAGTCAGTTTCCTTGAAAGGAACATAATTAGAAAACCCAAGGTCTGGGGCAGAGGTGTGTGGACAGACTTCTCTAATCTGGCACAGAAATGTGAAGATAATTGTGTCTTGTATGCATGTTTACCAAAGGGTGACCTCCACTGAGGATTTTAATGAGGTGGACAGAAGAGCCATTCTATGGACGGTAGCCAGCCTTCTTTCCCAGCCCAATGTATACATGAACAAAGCATCGGGGATGGAGGTTATGTATGGGCTCCACAGTATGGACTTCCATTCACCAGGGCCAATCTGGTTATAGCCCCTGCAGAGCGCTCAATATTCCAATAGCAGAGACTAATATTGAGCCCCAGTATGCCACCATTTCCTGGGAGATCAGTCAGCTGATTCCAGATTGATTATATTGGGCCAGTTCTATCAGAAGGGGACAGAACTTGTCTTATTGGAATAGACACTTACTCGGGGGCAGGGGATTTGCCTTGTTCACAATGCTTCTGCCAAAACAACTATCCATGCACTTAGAGAATGCCTTATTCACCATCATGGTATTCCACACAGCACTGCTTCCATGGGGGAACTCACTTCAAAGCAAATAAATCACAGCAGCAGCTCCTGCTCATGGAGGTACCCAGTATTACCAGGATCTCAAATTATCCTGAAACACATGGCTTGACTGATTGGTGGAATGGCTTTTTGAAGACTTGGTTATATTGCTAGATAGATGTATATTTATGTTACTATGTAAATGACAAAATCTTGTGTGCTGGGCAATGTCCTCTAGGATATGGTGTTTATGCTACCTTAGCATCCACTATATGGTGCTGTTTCTTCCATAGCTAGGATTTATTAGGTCCAGTTACCAAGGGCTGGAAATGGGAGCAGCTCCTCTATCATCCCTGGTAATCTACTCAGTTTTTGCTTCCCATCCCTATGGCGTTAGGTTCTGCTTGTCTACAGATCTTAGTTCCAAAGGAAGGAATGCTTTTACCAGATGACACACAATGATTCCATTCAACTGGAAGTTGATACTGCCACTTGGCCACTTTTGACTCCTCATGCACCTGAAACAATACTGGCTGGGCTGACTGGTTCTGACTATCAAGGGGAAGTTGAGCTGGCTGCTACACAATGAGAATAAGGATGATTATGTATGAAATGCAAGAGATTATGCCAATTAGCACTCCCAAGTCCTGTAATTAAAGTGGATAGAAAACTACAAAAACTAATCCAGGCAGGATTTAAATGATCCAGACCCTTCAGGATGAAGGTTTGGGTCAACCCAATAGCAAGGAACCATGATCAGTTGAGGTGCTTGCTCAAGGAAAAGGGAATGTACAATGGGTAGTAAAAGAAGGTAGTCATAAACACTAGCTTTGACCATGTGACCAGTTGCAGAAATGAGTTATAAGTATTTCTTCCTTATTGATGTTTGCATAAATATTAACAAAATGTTTGCTATTTCTTCCTTATTGGTTTGCATAAATATTAACAAAGTGTTTACTTTTCCTCTTATCCCCTTAAATAACATAAGATATATTTATGATAGTTAATTTAGTATTTCAGTATTTAAATTACAGAATATAAAAGGGGAGTATGAATCAGCTAGAGGAAGATCTAAACATCACCCATGGACAAAAAAAGTCTTTGTGTCCTCTTTTGGGAAAAGGTTACTGTGTTGTTTTCCACAGACAGTTGTACCACATTAGGCAGAGCATGACTTTTTTCTTCATTTTGAGATTAAGTATGGTTTAAGGAGGTGTATGTGGGTGCCAGGTTGACATGGGGTGGACTGTGATGTCTTTAAAGTATGTGAAATTGGCCAGAGTGAATGACATTTCTTTACATGGTAGCTGGATACCAAGGGGATGAAAGTAGAAGCTGCCAGTCCTCTTTAGGCCTTGTTAGAAGTCCCAGAACACCATTTCTTTACAATGAAGCCTTCGAATATTTTTCTGCTCCTTTTTCTCTCTCTCCACCTTCTGAGACTCCCATTACGTGTATGTTGACACTGTCCTACAGGATTATGAGGCTTTGTTAATTTTCCTTCAGTCTTTTTTTGTGTTTGGACTGGATAATTCCTATTGATCTATCTTCCAGTTCACTGGTTCTCACTTGCTACTCAAATCTGATGAGGCCTTCTGCCACTTTCTGTTGATCAAAGCGAGTGATAAGGCTGGCCCAGATTCAAGAGAGGGGAAATAAACTTCACTTCTTGAGGGGAGTGATAAGTAGAGAAAGAGAAGGAATTGTTGGGGGCCACCTTTGCAGGCATTCCACCATATATGAATTATTTAATTAGGCATCAATTATCCCTCTTCAACCCACCAATGAGTGCTTCTCACCCAAACCCCTGCCACTACTGAGTGTGATGAATCTCTTTTCTTTTAACTTAGCCAATTTGATATCTTAGAAGTCTACCAAAAACGGGATGCATCATACATTAGGTAGGAGTGAAATAGTTTATCTATTTCAACAAAGAAAAAGGAAAAATAGGAACAGGAGAAGCAACTGTGTCCTTCTTAATCTTTGACTCTAGCTTGCCACTATTTTTGTTTCATATAAGTTTTAAAGCTTTTATACTAATTTGAAAATCGGAGGTCCGGCTGAGCAGGGTCCTAGAAATGCGTGTCTTTCCTTCCCCCGTCCCCGCGCACTCGTGTCACGTGGCCAGGCCCTGCAGGTGAGGCCTACGCTTCAGGGGGGTGGCCACGCCCGCGGTGTTGGAGTAAAATCACGTAGGTCAGGAGTGTGACCGCACGCTATAATCAGAGCGTACACATAAATGCGTGTTAGGTCCAAGGTAACTGACGTGCTCAATACATCTGATAACTTCAGAGCTTTAGCTGGGCTGGTATGAACTTACCTATCGTGGTCTGTCCTCTTCACCTGTTAGTTGGCACCCTCCACGGATCACCACCCCTGACCGTCATTTAGACCCTTTCCGTGCTCGCCCGTCCCGCACACTTCCGGCGGACTGGCCCGCGTGGGTGTTGACACGGCGAGGACCTAGCAGCGTAGCGCCCGCAGCCCGGAGCTCTGGCGCTCCCTGCACCATCCCCAGTGGGAACTCTGGCCGCCAGCCCCGCCCACACCGGCAGCGCACCGCCCCCAAGTACCGCCCCCACGTCCTGCAGCGAGGACCCCCACGGGGCTGTCCGCGGCCGCGCCGGACTCCTTCTACCCTGTTTCGGGTCTCCACAATCCCCCAGCTCAGCCTCAAGTGCTGCTTGGTCCTCGGGCTTTGAGTTTGCTGTCGCGGGCCGAGGCCCGCCGGTCGGCAAGAAATAGCGCGCAGGCGGTGGAGAAGGCTGCCCGGACGAGGCGCTCGCGTGGCTCCACAATGGCGGCGGCAGTTCGTGCTGCAGGCAAACTATCTGGGCTTTGCGGCTTGCCGGCGGGTGAGAGCTAAAACGCTGCGAGCGGGATGGGAGCGGGGGCTCGCCCGGGCCTTGCAGACACCTGGGAGGAAAAGCGAGAAGTCGCGGCCTCTGGGCCCATCACTCCAGCCACCGTACTACCCGGACCCGCTGTGTGACCTTGGCGCGTCTGCACCCTCTCTGAGCCGCAGGGCCGGGTCTGTAAAGTGAGGGTGGACTGGACGCAGTCCAAGGGCCCGTCCAGGTGGCCAGACTGCTCGTGCGTGCTCGGCTGAGAGGGGCAGGGACCTGGGAAGGAAGCATCACCTTTCCCGCGGGCGCGACGCCAGTTATTTGGTGATGCCTGTGTGGGGTTGGGGACAGGTGTGGTCAGCGAAGCTCGGAAGGGAAGGAGGCCGTCTTCCAGCTGGAATCGGATAGATGTAGTGTCAGTCATTTTAGGTTCCACGTTGAGCAGTGTCCTTACTGAAAAGGATGTTCCGAATGTCAGTAATTTGGCAGTTATTTTCCTGCCTCGCCGCTGGTTGGTTTGCAGGCTGAGAAAGGGCAGTCTGATGTCCTCCAGAATAACGTTTACTCCTAGGTACTGCTTCATGATGACTCGTTCTTCTCTATTCACTCTATTTTACTGTAAATCTACAATCCACTATTCATACTTCCAAAATCCAAAGACCTCTAAAAACCGAAAAGTTATTTTTTGTAACTCATTTTGTTGGGAAGCTTGACCTGAAATCATTTGGCAAAAAAAACTGAACATTCGTCCCTTGTGTCCATGTTGTGACACCTTCCTTTTTGAATGCCTCATTCAAACTGCACCTAGCTTCTGTAGTTTAACTTCATGTGCCCTTAATGTCTGCAGGCAACTTTCTTAAGCTCTTTATGCTTTTTTCCTCACTTCCTTTTCACAATGTATTTATGAGATAGATAGCTTTATTACCATTGTACAAATGAGGGAATTAAGGCATACAGAGATTGAGAAACTGTTTCAAGGTTAGACTGGGAGGATGTCAGGTTTTTGCACCACCACCATCTGGCTCCAGAACTTCCTACTTTCTTTTTCTGTTGTATAAACCTTTAGTAGCAGCTTTATTAAGATGTAATTAACGTACCACAAGTCATCCTCTTAAAGTGTACAATTCAGTGGTTTTTAGTATATTCACAGAACTGTGCAACCATCACCACTATCAATTTTAGGACATTTTCATCACTCCAGAAAGAAACTCTGAATCCTTTAGCTATAATCCCCTTGCTCCCCGTTGCCCCCAGCCCTGGGCAACCACTAATCTACTTTCTGTAGTTCGCAAGTTCTGGATAGTTCATATAAGTGGGATCATAATACGTGGCCTTTTGTTCTTGTGTTCTTTCACTTAGCATGTTTCCAAGATTCATTCATGTTTTAGCATTTATAAGTACCTTCATTCCTTTTTATAGCTGAGTAATACTCTATTGTATGTATTTACCATATTTTACTTATCCATTCATTACTGAAGGAACATTTGGGTAGTTTCCACCTTTTGGCTGTTAGATTTAATGTCGCTATAAATGTGTGTGCTTTGTTTTTGTGTGTACATCTATTTTTATTTCTGTATATACTTGGGAGTGGAATTAGTGTCTCAAATAATATCTCCACGTTTAACTTCTTGAGGAACTGCTAGACTATTTTCTAAAGTACCTGTGGTGGGTTTACCCAGCAGCAGTGCATGATGGTTTATTTCTCCACATCCTTGTCAACACTTGTTATTATGTGTCTTTTTTATTATAGCCGTCTTAGTGGATGTGAGTAGTATCAGGTTGTGGTTTTGATTTGCATTTCTCTGGTGGGTAATGGACATCTTTTGTGCATGCTTATTGGCCATTTGTAAATGTTATTTGCAGAAATGTCTGTTTAAATCTTTACCCATTTTTAAATTGGATTTTTTTTATTAGTAAATTTTAAGCATTTCTTATGTATTCTAGATACAAGTCCCTTGTTGATACATAGTTTGTAAAAAATTTTATCCCAATCTGTGTGTTACCGTTTCACTTTTTGATCATGTCCTTTGAAGCTTGGAAGTTTTACATTTGGATGAAGTCTTCTTTATCTACTTTTTTATTGTTGCTTATGTTTTTAGTAGCATATTTAAGAAGCCATTGTGAAATCCAAGATGGTGATAATTTACTCTTATGTTCTTTTTCTAAGAGTTTTATAGTTATTGCTCTTACTTTGGGTCTTTGATCCATTTTGAGTTAATTTTTATATATGGTATAAAGTAGGGCTCCAACATCATTCTTTTGCATGCTCATATTTAGTTGTCCCAGCACCTGTTGCAAAGATGATTCTTTCCCCATTGATTTGTGTTGGTACCCTTTTCAAAAATCAGTTGCCGGCAAGTGCTGTCAGAGCCTGTTCTGAAGCACTGTGCTGTATGAAGTGGTCCACAGTGTGGCTGCAGCCTGGTGCTGGCCAGGGCTCCAGAGGAGCAACAGGAGCAGAGTGCTGTGGGAGCACTGTGGGAATCAGGGAGCCTTCACCAAGAGTGGACCAGGACAACATGTCAGGGACATCTAGAAGGACTCTAGAGCAAAGTGTGTTCAAGACTGACTACAAGTCTGTTGTGGCCAGAAGGAGGGGGGTGAAGGGGAGGGTGATGGGAGATGAGACTGATGTGGGAGGCTGGGGCCTAGTTGCAGCCCTGAAGGCTGTGCCAAGCGGTTTTGACTTTGTAAGTATATAATATATATCAGGGCCATGAAATGACCAGACCTGTTATTTTAGAACAGGCTGTCTCTTCAGCAGATGGCTAATTACATGGGGAGAGACTGGAAGCAGTGAGACATATAGGAGACTGTTGTTACCATGTAGCTGAGAGATGAGGACATAGGATAAGGTGCAGCTGACAGGTGGGTTGACTTTGGAGAAGAATTTATAGATAGGGTCTGGTAGGTAACTAGTTAGATGTGAGAGTGGAAGAGTTGTGTGATGTCACCCGCTTGAGTAAACAGCCATGGACCCAGAGATTACTCATCTACTTGTCTTGCGTCTGTTATTCTATAGATATTAATATATTTTGGGTGTTAAAAATGTACCTTTTCATGTAGAAATGTCTATTTTTTTCTTTAATTTACAGGTCATTTATGGTCTAGGCAGCTTCACCTAAACACCTTTCCAACAGCTTCCTTTTTGGCATTCAAGACTGTTCCTAGCAAAGGTGAGGTTCATTTATCTAGCTGCCTTTCTTCTATGACCTAATATTAGAGTATTTCATGTAGATGTAAATGAAGGAAGCACATTCTTTGTAATGGAAATGTATGAAGTCTGTTTCAATTTCTTTATGATTGCAATTGTTATAGTTTAAGGCTTTAAAAATAATAGTTACAATTTGTTAAGTAATTACTGTGTGTCAGGCTTGTAACATGTTATCTTGGTTAATCCTCACACCAGATTTTATGAGGGAGTTGTTTCTATTTTACAGTTGATGAAGTGAATCTCTTAAGAGGCTAAGTGACTTGCTCAAGATCACGCAGCCAGTGTCAGGACTGTGGTGTCTCTTGGTAACACAGTCTTGTAGACGTCCTTTGCTCCTTCATCAGAGTGCAGGGCCCTCTCTTCAATCATTCTATAGAAAGGAAGAAAGCCAGCCCTTGCTGAGCCCATGTTGTGCTTGTGGTCAGTTAAGTCCTGTCTTTTCCACGTGGACTATGGTTAGGGCAGAATTGAAATTTCACTGTGCCCTTGAGTTTCTGGAATTCTGCGTGCTGGGCTGTACTTTAAGTCTTTCTCCCTTTCATCTTGTTAACTCCACCTGTCGAGATGCCTCCTACTTTGCTTGAATGGTCTAGGAGGCTGTGGTGGACCTGAGCGCTTCCCTCCTTTTGTTGGTTGGGTGATTAATGCATTCATAAACTGCTTACTGTGCCGTGTGCTGTGATTCAGGTGCGCCTACCTGAGCTGATGTGGGGCCTGGAGAAGGCTTCTGTGAGGAAGGCCAGAGGCTGTGAGTACCTAGCTGAGGGGATAGACCCCCGTGGGCCCTGGGGAAGAGCTGATGCTCCACCTCTTCCTACCTTTGCACATGAGCAGGTGATAGCCCTAGGGCCCTCAGTGTTCTCATCTATAAAATGGGGGTACTACTTTGAAGATTGTAGGGACAAACCCATAAAACCCCCTTGTGTGGACCTCTTCAGAGACACAGAGTCAGCCTTCAAGATTTCAGTGTTTAACAGTTTTAACCATGAAGAACTTCTTTCTTCAAATTTGTCTCTTATTAACTCAAATTGGTTAATTAGTGATGTATTTGCTATGTTTCTGACCAATCTGTTGCAGCACTTGGAAAAATATAGCAATAGGTACTCAGAAAACAAAACATTTTTTAAAAACAAGGCAATTATTAATTCTAGGAAAAAGAAAATTTTGTGTAAGAAAGGAAATGTAATGACAGAATACTGCCTTGCTCAGCTGTAATAATACATACATAACTTTAATAATGAAAACACTGTCCATAGGTTCGATCACAATTGTGCTTACAACTATACTGGGAAAAAATAAGGACAGTGGTGTAAGAGTTAGCTCTTCAATTAGCATAATAATATTAACAGAGAAAAAACAACATACACAATCTATTAAGAAATATAACCAGAAGGTAAAAGAATTGAAGGTGTCACTGGAACATGGAAAGTAATAGGAAAGAGAACTGGTTTTAAGATATAAACCTTTTAGTACTCTTTG